AAACTGAGTCATTCTTCCAGAACTAATCATTAGACTTTAGAAGCACTTTCTATTAGAGAGTCTGTAGAGATCACTGCCTGACCTATCCTGACATCTCTTTATTGGGATCCACTGCAAACAATTTGGTTTACAGCATGCCCAGTATGTTCCTCATGTGTACAGAATACAAAACTGAAACGTTTCACAAAACAGTACTTAGCACTGCTTCTTCCAATTCATTCCAACACCTTCAGTTCTGTTTCATTCAGACACGCTTGTTATGTCCTCAACAAGTTCATGTTATAAACGTGTTCAGGGTATCTGGAGGTGGGGCCTTTGGGAGTTACTTAAGGTCTGGAAAGGTCAGGGGGAGAGGATGGCCGCAGTGGTGTTAGCAGCTTTGGTGACACAGCCAGCTTGCCTGATTTTGTTTTCCCTCTACCTTGCTATGATTCAGCAAGTGCCCTTATCCATCCACAGCATGGGCCACCAAACTACACAAGGCTGGGGCAAATAAGCCTTAACTGTGTTAGTCACCAGGTTGTATTTTGTTATAGTGACTGAAAGTGGACTCAGACAGGTTGGGGCACCTGAACTGGCTGCCATTTGTGTGAATGTCATGTTCACAGAAGCCAGTCCTATCTTTCTGAGTTAAAGGTCAGTGGTTAGACGAAAGACTGATTTGATGTTCCTCTCCAGTACAGGACAACTTCAGTCTACCCAAAAGGCCTCACACTACTGTTTTCAAGAGAATTCAAGTTATCCACCCACCCTAGCCACTGTCAGGTCTCCTCCATAGTGCTACAGTAATTCAATAATGACTTCACAGAACCATTGGGATACCATGCTGCAAATGAGCAGAGTCAGAGGATTAAAGACAGGTAAATCTGGATTCCGGAAGATTCGGACGGGGGGGGGCAGACTATGTAAAAAGCGATTCGTGAACACTTACAGGGAAAGGTAGAAATCACTAAAATTTATGTTTCACCAAGAAGAAGCCTCAAAAGACCAAGGTCACCTATTATTCTCATGAAAGCTACAAAGTCCAGGAAGAACACGGGAGAAAATGTGTTTAGTTAATCTTTCTCAAGTGTTTCTTTGTCCAGAAGACGTAAGTAGTCACAGCTACTATGAGGAATAGTTAAGGCATATATTTAAGCACATGGTACAGTGTGTGCCAAATACTACAGAAATGCTTTCCTCCTTCCTTCACCAATAAGCAGATCAGAAAAGACAAAAAAACATACTGCAGAAAACATAAGAAATAGTATCTCTCCCTTTTAGACAAGTGAGCACTTCAAGGCAGTAAGCTTCACATCAGCAATGAAGGGACTAGTCTTTCTTCTCCTTGCCTCTGGAAAGGTGGTACAGGTGGTTGGAGGAACCTCTGTGATCCTTTCTCCAACTCTGCCAACTACGGCTGGAAAGTGAACATACCTCACATGTCAGCTGGGCTACATGTAGTTCAAGCTCTTCAATGAGAATTTAAGTTCCCTTCCCACACCATGCCTGGAGAACTAGAGAAGGGTGATAATTCCATGTGAAGACACTGGCAACCTGCCATCTGATGGCATCAGGGCAAGACAGAATTTTCTGGTTTTCGGCACAGAGCACAGATGTGTCTGTTTAAGAGCTGTCTCAAAAATGCCACAGTTTTCTGACCCTGGCTGGCAGAAGTGATTTCATACCCAGAAATTAAAGGGTCCCCAACAGTTAACAGGCCCAGAGCCACCAGGCCCAAAGACAGGGCCTCTTGCTCTGTGTTATCCAGACAGACGGCGTGGCATAGCCCCAGGGGCAGACGGCACTGCGGGCTGGAAGGCAGTTCTGGTGTGTCTACGTCTGCCCAACCGGTTTGAATCTTGTTTTCTGTCTCTTAAATGTCATGAGCGTATCTGTCAAGGAGCCCAGGGAAATCACCCAAATTGGACAGCTCCTTAAGGGCAGAAGTTCCATTTATCTTTGTTTCCACAGTACCCAGCACCATGCCTCTCACAGAGCACTGTTCAGGAAATTTCTGTTGATGTGAAAGATGAGAAAGGCCACTACCTCCTTAAGATTCCTGAAGCAGCAGCTCATTTCTAGAATGGACAAGGCTGACCTGGGCAGCCAGAGGACAGTGAACAGGAACTGACTTACAGGTGATAAAAAACCTCTCAGAGCTGGGGCTGGGGAAGCGGAAGCCCAGGGCTGGAGACTGGGTGTCTCCACATTTTCTTCTGCCTCCCTGCAGATTCAGAGCAGAACTCAGCTAACTCATTTCTGTAAAAGAGAAGCCCAGGTGAGAAGTACTGTTTACCTACAAAGGAAGGACCATTACTAAGCCACAAGAGGCTGGAGAAGGATGGGAGACTCTTTTGGGGAGTGGAGAGGGAAACCCCAGATTAGGCAGTTGTTGACTGAGGTCTCAGCAGGAAAAGTACTTGCATGTGCTGCAGAGGACTAAGGCAAGTGGCACCCCAGAGGGACATCCTCAACAAAGCACTCATCCACCTGGCTGCCTATTTACAGATGTGCTAGGTCTCCCAGACAAGCCCAGAACAGGGTGAGCACTGCTACACTGCCCATCTCTCAAGCTGGGAGCCTTTCCTCTTCATTGTGCCTATTACTTACAGTCAAGAAGGCTGAGCTTAGCAACTCAAGAAAGAGCTGGAAAACCAGAATTGTACCAGTCTCATCCCTGGAAGGACCCAGGGAAAGAATAATGCCTTAAGCTTCCTTGGGTTCCTTGAGCTCCACATGGCCCTCTGGCCTCCACTCACCTCCATCACTTCCCTCCCATGAGGAAACAGCCCTCGCTTTCTAACAGGCAGATAATAAGGGCCACCAGGCCAAGGGAGAAGGAAAGACCTTAGACAAGGACCATCCCTAGCAGACCAGTCATTCAGTTGGTAAAAAGACGAAAGGCAGCGACCTCCTGGTCCGAGCAGCATGGGACAGAGGAAGGAAAAAGGCAGGGCAGCCCAGTGACAGCTCAGGCTATGGACAGAGAATGATCGCTGGGGGCTCACACCTCAAACCTGTATCTGCCTTCTGCTGCAGCTATGTAACAGACCAACTCAGTTTCCTTTGCTAGAAAGCCCCAGCCTTGTTGCTGTGCTCACAAAGGAAGTTTCTCTGGCACTGGAGCACTTACTTAACCTCTCTGTATCTTGTTTCCTCATCTAAAAAACAGATATATACTTAGCTCCCAGGCCGCGCTGAGGGTTAAATAACACAAAACATTTAAAGCATTCGAAACAGTGCGTGGCATATATTAAACACTCAATAAGTATTAGCCATACCAGTCCTTACTGAGCTGTTCTCCACAGCACCTAATGTGGCACAGCCTCCTTAGCCAAAGTAATAACAGTAAGTAAGAACTATGTACCAGGTAGGCAAGGCACTTTACTTACATTACTCAGTCCCCAAATAAACCCAGTGTAGGAAGCATGTTCACAGATTAAGTATCCTGCCTAAACTATTAGTGACAGCCAAGCTGGGACTGGAACTCAGCCTTGCACACAGAGCTGGCTTCTTCATCCTCTAGGCTGACAATGCCTGACAAGGGAACACCACGTTCTGAGCCCAGTAACCCTGAAAGCAGCAATACAGCAGCCTGTTCCCAGACCAGTGAAGGTGAACCTTTCTGAGTTTTACTAATGACAGCTGGCTGTGGCATGTGTGCCCCAAGTTCACCACCACTGGCTTACACAAATTCAGGCAAGAGAGGATGCAAAAGGAATGCTGGTACTGTGAAGAAATTCAGTCCCTGTCAAGGCCTGAGTTTCTTGTCAGTTGCAGCTTTCCCTTTTGACTCTGATTCAGACTCTACAGGGCTTTGCAAGTAGCCCTGCAATGAGAATCCAATAAGCATGCAGTAAACACAGGTACAGACAAAACTCTGGCCCGATCCCAACAGCCCATTAATGCTGCTGGTTCCCTTTGAAAGTTTCACACTCTGATCAGAAGCCACCACACAGCATCTTCCTGAGCAATGGTGAGACCACAGTCCAGGCCCAGAACAGTCCCCAACTCTGAAAGAAGTGTCGTTTGTATGGTACAGAGTCAAATCCAACAGTAGGATTCCCGTAACTCTTCGTGTGTTCTAACTTCTTGCTAAGAGGCCTACTTGAAAAACTTGACTTTTCCTATTTTTTCCACGTATTTCAACTCCTGCACCTCAAAGATCCAGAGATGGGTGTTCAAACTATCAGTGTGGCAGGAAGGGGAGGGAATTGGGGCCCAGCTGCTTTTGACAGGGTCTGAAGAAAACCCACCTCAGGGGCACTCATTAACACTCCTGTTTGTAATGAAAGGGCTTTGGGACTGCTGAGACTGCTAAGTCTTTCTAAGTCAGTCCCTCAGAATCAGCAGTCACCACTCCCTAACTCTGCACAACAGGCAGCAACCCCAGCCAGCCATTTTCTGCTAACAGCAGTGCGCACCCACAGAGGGACCAGAAATGGCAGAGAAAATGCCAGAGGACAGAATGTGAGAAGAAAATGCATCAGGACTGTGCTGAGTAGGGCCTGTTCTCCCAAAAGACAGATCATCTTGATGGCTCATTTCATCACGGGAGGTAACAGAAAAAGTGTTCCCTCCAGATGGGCCGCCTAAACTCTACCTTGCGCCACCTTGTAACACTGGACTGTGTCTAAAAATCGGTGGTAAAAGTGGCTAACCTTGGGATGCTAAGGATCCAGCTTACATTTAATCTCATGCTTGTAATATAATCATCCAGCTCGGTGGGTCACATCTCCTGAAGGCTATTTGCCAGGCAGGTGGTGAGGCTTACTCTCTCCCCACCTAACTTCCTTACTATGGCCGGCCTTACTATGGTCTTCTAGGACCAGCGTCTCTGGGGAGGCTGAGGCAACACACCAGGACTGAGACATAGGTTTAAGCAAAGCCCTTCAAGGTCCCCACACAGGCAGCACCCTCACTGCAGCTTCTTTGGCCCCGCTGTAGTTTTTTTTTTTTTTTTTTCCACTTCTTACCCCAGCTCCTCCCACCCCAACCCGGAGAAGCAGTAGTTAGAATTTTGTATTCCTTTCGAGTTAGCTTTCTTCCTACAAGACCGTCCACCCTGATCCTACCGAGGAACTATCAGAGCTGGCGCAACTGCAGGAGGTGATTTATTTTCCTAACAGTAAAATATCTAAATCAAACATGCCCTGGGTTTCAGCAGCTCAAACACTGAGGTCTAACAAGGACCCGAAGGAAGACTCGCTGTGGCCTGCCAAGGCGAAGTGCGCGTCTGAGTGATTACGAGGTGGGCGTGCCGACGCGGTGACGGGCGCGCCGCCCGCAGCACCGCGGAGAAGCGCTCTCGGGGCTGCCAGCCACCGCCTCGCTCCTCACAGTCCTGCGGCCGAAGAACCCACGGACCGCGCGCTCGCCGACACCCACGCGGCCTCCGCCCACCGCTCGCCTGCCGCCCCGCCGCAGCCCGTGAGGGGGCGCCGCCTCCCAGAGTGCTCCGGGGCGCCGGTCACGTGACGGGGCGGGCCGCTAACCCCGGCTCTGGGGCAGGGCCTGTCCTGCCGGCGCCCTCCCGGTGGGAGGCCAAGCTCCAACTCTGGAACCCTCCGGGAGGGGCAGCGCCCCGGAACTGTGGGTGCTCGGGGAAACTCCCCGTTTGTAAAACGAGTATCACACTTTGGTGGGGCTTAGAACTGAGGGGGGCATTATAGGTCTTCTGGTGCTCAAATCTGAAGTCACTTCAGTGCGCCCCTCCCACTCTGGGACACACAAGGTTATTAATTTCTTAAATTTAATGTCGAACCCCACCGAGAGCTTGCAAAGGACTGGCTCTGCATTCCGTGTTGTTGGTCAGCAGCTTACATTTCCATAGAGTCCAGCTCTAGAACTGTTCTGATTCAAACTTTTCATAAAAATTCAGTCTTAAACTGAATTCCATTTGTTTGTATTATGAAACAAGAGACCAAGAAACAAGTACAAACAGTAATAGCATGAGCACGTCAGAATAATGTTTAGCATGTCATAAAATACCAATTACAAGTTATTAACTCTTACTACATTAGATCCCAATGTAATTATACAAGACCAAGAAAATGATAACAACTTATCTTTTAAAAACGTTATATAATCCAGGCTAGCTATAGCCTAGTCATAACTAGTCAGCGTTGTAAGAATTTCCTGTGTAAAATGATGAAGACCTACAGAGCTAGAGAAGAACCCTCTGACCTTTCTTCCGGGTCACTATGGGAAACAACTCAGCAGGCAACAATAAAAATAGTCTTTCTGGAAAGCAATATTTTCTCACTAGGGAGATGAGCAAAACGATGTGACAAAAGCAGTGACGATAAAAATGACAAGGAAGTGTTCACAGTGGCTTGACACAAAGCAGGGCCTCATCCTGGCACCTTAACAGTGAAGCTTCGCCCTGCGATATTCCCCACTGAACAGGTGTGAAAGTTCAGCACCCAAAACCTGCCACTTCATCCAGCTTCCACTCTGTTTAGAGCCTTCTGCTGCAATGACTTTTCTTACAAGTCATGGGCACCTTTGCAATGTGGAACAAACTCTTTATAAAACCTAAGATTTTGAAAGAATTACTGGCAAAAGGATGTGCTTTAAAAAAAATTGAGCATTGGCCAAAAGTACTAAATGTTCAGAGATGAATTTGAGGACAGGTTGCAGATAACAGCATTAATAACTATGGTGGAACCAGAATGGGCTACAAAGAGTTCAAGTCAGGAATCCTGAGGTTCCTCACCCTCAACGCCACTCTCAGGTAGCAAAATCATCCGAAAATTTCATAAAATACTAGGAGTCAATTCCTTTATCACTGATCCTACGTTTTCCAGGAATATTATGGTGGTCTGAGGGAGGGAAATGAGTCCAGAAACATGAAATTGTAGTTCAAAATTCTGATCCTCCAATCTGCCTGTCAACTCCCTGGGCCAAAGCCAACTATGAAAAACACCTGGTGCCCATACACACAGGCTCACAGCCCTTCCATATCTCCCACCAGGCTCATCTGTGACTGTTCCACCCATTCTGGGAGGCTGGGATGGTTTCCCCAGCTGAAGACTGTGGGCATCTTCCCTCCAACTATATCGGTTTGCCCTGGAATTTTCTCCTGACCTCTGAAGCTGAAATCATTCCTTAGGACTCCCGTCAGACAAGTATTTTGAGGAATTAAAAGTCCCTGGGAACTGAAGCAAAGCCTCTTAAGCAAGCAGGCCCACAGTGTCAGGAAAGTAGTCATGGACCAACTGAAAGGAAATCTTCTCTCATCTTCCAACACTCAGCCTTTCCCTGATCACATACACATCAACCCAATCAGACTTTCCTGTCTTGTTCTAAGGTGCTAAAGGGCTTTCGAGAGAAGGCTAAGGGTCAGGAGGCAGAGGCCAACAGCTTCTGGAGTTGCCAGGAACACCTGGGCAAATGATTTCACTTCCTACTAAAATATTTCAGTAATTTCAGAAGCAGTACAAAATTTATTAAAAAGTTGAAGGGAGGGGGCTGGGGATTTAGCTCAGCGGCATAAGCACCTGCCTTGCAAGCAGGCGGTCGTGAGTTCGATCCTTGGTACCGATAAAAAAAATGAAAAAAAAAAAAAAAAAGAAAAAAATGAAAAAAGTTGAAGGGAAAGAACATAGTGTTACAATGTTGAATTCAATCCTGAGAATTATCAAGTGATAACACATAAAATACCTGATAATGAAACCTTTTGGGGCGGACAGTGGTTCTTCCAACTCAAGTTCAAGAAACTCTTTTTAGCTACCCCATCCATAGTTTTCTTAACCGGAAACTTTCTAGAATGTGGGCTTTCTAAATTGAGATAGATGTCAGAGGTCAGTAAGTCTTTGGGCTCTAATTACATAGTCAGAGGACTGCAAGACAGACTTCTACTTGCAAATGGCCTGTGAGAAACATCATTCTCCCAGAAGAGGGGTCCAGCTTTCATTTTTCTAAAATGGTGCCAGACCCAAAATGAGTTTTTAAAAAGCCAATGACCTACACCAGCTCTTGGATTTTACACACAAGGCCCAAAAGATTCAACTAAGTGTTCCAGGGGACAAATGTATGTCACCTTCTGAAGCAAGTTGCAGCCTGGCGGGTTGTGGGGGGAGGGATGGGGACAACGATGCTACAGTAGTCCACAAGAGCCAGAAGTCCTTTTCTATTTCTGTGAAAGTCTCTGAGCATCATTCTGTCTGGATTTCTAGGGCTGGGTGTGCCATCACCCCTCCCTTCACCCTTCTGAAGTCTCTAGGGCATTGGGGTGGCTGGGCACCGCCAACAGTCAGCCACTGAACACTCAACCAAGTTATTTCTTAGGGGCCCAAAAAGAGTTTCCAAAAAGTCTAGTCTCCACACTGTGGACACAGTTCAGTGCTCCAAGAACCTATCCAAGGCTGGTCTGCAAATAAGGAGAAATCAGCAAAAACTACTGGGTCCTAATATCATATGGTCTCTAGGTATCAGACCAGACCAATTTTGAACTAGTTCACAAGGGGAAGACTAATTCAGAATGAGAACTTTCTTACAAATGAGGTACAATTTTCAGAGATTACTTTGGGATGGGAAAATGTCTGTAAATAACATAACTGACAGTTCGCTATATAAAAATGCTATTGATATGTGTTCGGTGATTCTCCCATACAGATCAACAGGCTGTTTACAAGTGAGTAATTAGAGGCCATCAACTCAAGGAAACTAATGTAGAATCCCTCTTGAAGAGAAAAAAAAATTAAAACCTCTTTAAGAGATAATTGGACAATTGCAAATTATAAATAAAAGCCAGTGGAAGTAGAGGAAGGGTTATAGTTACTTTGTGAGTGACTCTGCAACTGGTTGGGCCTTACCACAAAGTACTGCAGGAAGATGAAACATCAAACTGCATTCTCTCTTGGCTTTTGTCCCCTGACCTCTGAAGGGAATCATTTCCCAAGTAAGTGACTAAAGTGAGAGGAAAGAGGATCATATTTAGGAACATGTTCATTGCTATGTGTGGGAATTGACTGCTATCAAAAACATGAAAACTGCCAACAAAGCAACAGCAGGACAGAGTACACAACCTAAAGGTCTAAAGCTCTGACCCCAAAGTAGATGGCAGCTCATCACTAGGCACTCACTATGCCTCTTCACTCTATGGGGAATTCATAGCTTTTCTGAAACAGCTGCTGTGAGGATTAAATGAGATGACCCACAAAAGACATTTAGAACACTGCTTGACACAGAAGGACTTGACCAAAGTTCGCCGCAATTATGATTATATATTCAAGTGGCAAGCAGATAAAATTAGATGGTTTCTCAAAGACCAAAGAATACTTCGATGAGTTGTTACTCATTTTTCTCTGGTTCTCATTAGCTTCTTTCCCTGCAGTGGTGAAATTGCTGTGACAAACCCTAAAAGGGGAGAAATAACACATTTGAAGCCTTTTAGGACAAAGTGAATGGTGCAAGGGGCCTGATTTTCCTGCAGGACCTTCTCCAGAAGTAGACACAGACCAGCAGGAGCCATTTTCCCACCGTGGCATGCTTTAGACACTGACATTCTGGTCTGTGAGATACAGGAGATGTCTGCTGGGGACCTGGAGAGAAAGATGTCCTAGCCAAGGACACTGGGAAAAACCTCCATTTCCTCCAGGATACTGGGACCTGAGGCAGCCACCACTTGCTATGACAGGAGCTAAGTCAACATGCTCTGGGGCCAGAGCAGAGCAGTGCAGAGAACACTGGTCTCTGAGTAACTTTGCTGTGCTAAGATTTGGCCAAATTACTGGGTGCCGTTTCTCACTTGGGAGGCTGATACAGGAAAATCTTGAGTATGCAATCAGCCGGGGTTGCACAATGAGTTCAAGGCCAGCCTGGATTACATAGTAAAACCCTGCCTCAAAGAAGGAAAAGAAATTAGCTAGTGCTGGAGCTGCCTATCATGAGACTCCTTAATTCTGGTGCAATAATTTATTTTATCATTGGAGCCAGGAGAGTTGCAGTTTTCTGTTCCTTCCAGCAGACGGCATCCTGACAAGGTTGGGGTGGGGCATTAGCAAGATCTAAAGAAGGCCTAACAGTGCCCTCACCCCAAGCCTGGACTGGGATGCTGCCAGGATCTCTCCTTATCTCCTTCCCTGGCAGGCCCACCTGAAGCACACAAAGGATTGTTCCTAGGTCTGAGAATACTAGATGATTTGTCAGGCAGGCACTAAGCAGCAGAGCCCCACATGTGGTGCCTCTAGAAACTTCCCAGCCACCAGCTCTCCCATTTCTGGAGTCACCCATTTTACAAAAGTTGTGAGCAACTGCCTTCTAAGGTGGGTTTCCAGAGAAAGTACTCGATGCCTGGTTACACTTGGATTTCAGAAAAACAATGAATAACTTCGTAGCTCAGGTATGTTTTACATGTGATGTCTGGCCAGGTCCCAGGCCAAGGATAAAGACCCTTGCAGCACTCCCGGAGCAGAAATGGCCTGTCTTGTCCCTCACTGCCCAGGCTGGTCAAGCACCAGGTGGATGGCAAATGCAGGTCTCTAATGGCTCTAGAAATGTCTGATGTGCATTTTATAGTAACAGACAAGAAGTGGTCAATACTTAAAAAGTGTAAGGGTGGGGCAAGTGTTACTGTGCTTCTGAGAGGTTCGGAAAATATGTGGCAGGCTGGAGGAGTGGTGAGGTGGCTCCTAACATCCATCCTCCTTACTGCAGGAGCTTCTTAGAGAAGCAGAAGAGATGATGATTCCCTGACCCGACCCTGTCTATGCAGTATCTGTGGCTGTATGGTAGACCAAGAGTGAGAAGCAGCATGGGCAGGGCTCTCTTGCGTGCTGGCCGCTGTCTGTAGCTTACTTACCTTGTCTGCAGTCATGTTGTCCTCACAGCCTTTCTCCATCAGGCCATGTCTGACAGCGTGATTCCCCTGGGGCCAATAACAATGTTTAATTTGTGTGATGTAGTACAGTCTCCCAGCTCACAAACAATCCCTCAATAAAGCTCACAGGTAAGAGCACGACTTCATTTCCTGGAAGCCTGCATATGGTTCCTGTCTCATGTCCCTACAGTGTGCTTCCAAGGGCCACAGCACTAGCCTAGACCCAGGGACACAGTAAGTGCCTTTGTAACACACAGCTCCCAGGGACAACTAAACAGCCATGACATTTAGCCACTTCCCAGCAACAGATGAATTCATCTTCCCTGCCTCTGTCGCCTTTCTCCCCAATTCTCTGCCTCTAGAAGCTGCAGAGTAACTTCTAGCCTAACAGTATTGGGAAAAAAATATGAGGTGACGTGGCTAGTACCCATCATCTTCAGAAGAACAACAAGGAGAAAACAAACGGAGATGCTGATGTTCTCAGTGATCCTGTCTTATTACAGAACCTTTCCTTCTAGAAACAAATGGGGAAAACTATACTGAAGCTTCAGGTAAGAAGGAAGCAAGCAGGGCTGGCTACATAATGTGCAGGGCCCCGTGTAAAGAGTTCCTTTTTAGTACCTCTTATTAAACAAGCAGACGAATGTATCATGAAAGGCACCTCTAATGGTTTATTTCTCCCCTTCCAAGGGTCTCTTTCTCTGGTGCATTGTTTCCTCCTGGCTAGCTGGTGTCATGCTCCTCGGAGCACCATGACGCTATCTGGGTGAATGCAGACCCTCATGGGTCCCAGGGCTCAGTCCCTTTACTCTTGCCATTCAGAGGGTCTGTGGATTCTTCTCCCACCAGGAGCAGCAGTGAGCACTGACCCACCAGGTTATGGGTGGCACCCAAAGCCACTGCAGCCTCAGGACCCAAGTACCGTGGTATCCATGGCCCACTCTGTGGCCCTGCAGTGTAGATAGGGATGACCAACATGTCCTACTCTGGAAACCAGTGACATTAACTCTACACCTCCTGATGTGGCCAGGGATGTCAGCAGTTGCTAGGGTGGAGTTAAGAAAGTCAGGTGAGCTCTGAGCACAAGGGTTCATGCTTCATCTTCCCCAAGGACTTCACGTACAGATCACAAAAAAGAATTAGGAAAGATTTTTAGACAGCAACTACAGAGCCTTCAAGCCCAAATGGGAGGCCTTTGTGAGTTTAGGTCAAACTGGGCATGACTGCACACACCCATAATCCCAGCACTTTAGGAGGCTGAGGCAAGAGGATCACAAGTTTGAGCCCAGCTTGTGAAATTTAGCAACTTAGCAATAACCTGTCTCAATCAATCAATCAATCAATCAAGTAATCAAAAGAGTAATCAGTGAGAAGGCCCTGGGTTCAATCCCAGTACCATAAATAAATAAATACAGAAATAAATATTAGGTCAATACCCTGACCAAGCTTACAGGACATTTCTGGATTATCCTCTGCCTATTTCCCCCATCCCAGATTCTCTGATTCCAGTTTGATAAATCTTGAAATTTTGCAAAAGTAATCAATTCCTTGCAGTAGTGGCTAACTAGTTATAGGACATACCTCCAGCCCTAGAGGGTGTGTGCATGAGTGTTTGTGTACTTATGCTGGAAAAGAGAACAGCTCAAAGGCAAAGACAACAAGTGACCTGCAGAGTGCTGGACGGTCCTACATGATCAGATCTGTTGTACCCACTGCCATTCATGCCCAGGTTGTAAAAATGTCCATGGCACATTCAAATAAATGACCTTAATCAGAAGAAGCCTACCCACAGGACCTCATCACTTGTCATACATGCTGGATAGAATTCCCCAGGCGGGGCAGGGGTGTGGGGGATACTGCCCACCCCTGTCCTCTGAGGGCTTCACAGTAGGGTAGGCCATCTTGGTTCCAGTTTAGCCAGCGGGAAGCTCACGAGTGGGAAGTGAGGCATTTATTCTCCCGGACACTCCTTTTCTCCTCCCTCTTGTCAAGCCTCCCATCAGAGCTTCTGGGGTGGGCAGGGGTCCTCCCTCTACTGGGCCCTGAGCTCCTGGAGAGGGGCTTCAGGAAATCTCCAAGGTAGAGTACAGTAAGCCACAAGGGTGGAAACTTAGCAATAATGAGGTAATAGCTGTGATTTTATATTTAGCACCTGTGCCTACCGGAGACCTCAGCACTCAGGGTAAGACTGGGTTTTAATCACTTCCCATTGCAGCAAGGCTCACTTGGCAGCCACGCCTCCACCCCAGGCCCAGCAGCCAGACTCCCTTCCTGGGGAACAGCTCGCCTACACTGTGCAGTCCCCGATGTCTGGTTCCTTAGCGTTCCTGGTGCACTGTGGGTGCAGTCTCAATCCAAGAGTTAGTGAAGGGTAGGCAAATGTCTACAGTTACTCCCACTGGGTGGGCAACTGAAAAGGCAGGTAAGGAAGCAGAGGCTACACCATCCCTCCTAGCAGGCCTTCTGTACTCAAATTCTCAGAGGCTCCTCTCCTCAAACTGCACCGCTTCCCACTCAGCTGTATGCAGCATGCCCATTTCATAGCAAGAGAGCAAGGTGCTGAAGGGATGGTGGGGATGGTGGGCCCAGGGCAGGGAGCACTCCCTGGGAGGCTGAAGCTGGTGTCTGTCCTGCCCATCTCAGCCCAGGACCTATTTGCACAGGCCTCTCTGCTGGTTCTGGGGCCTGGCTCTCAGGCTCCACTCAGACTTGAGTGCTCTAGTCCTGTGAATCCTATTTCACCTACAGAAGAGCAATGCCTGCCCAGCTGCCCTGTGAGTGACAACAGAGTAGCACAGGCTGGCGTGTAAAAGTGTCAGGGAGGCAAAGTGTATCACCATGTACCCTGGAGGAGGGAAGAAACATGCAACCCAGTTGAGGCAGCTATCAGCAAACCACAAGACAGTCAGTAACGCTTGCCCCACTGCACACAGCTTGCATGGCAGCCCTCCACTGGGCACACACATAAACACACCTACCCCCCCCCCCAGACACACACTTCTTTATGCAACACACTTTCACATACAACAGACTCTGACAAGACAGCAGCGATAAGGAGGTGCTGGGCCCAGCTGGCTGTTTCAGGCTGTTCTCTCCTGACCGGCCTGGCCTCTCAGTTCTCAAGAGTGCCCACTTCTGTCTCTTTTCGAGTAGATGCCAATGTCACCTTCATCCCACTCCTCACACCGTAGAGAAAAGAAGATCAGAAACAGAATGGAAACCAGGTTTGGAGACAGGCTTCAGTGGGGAGGGAAGTGGCAGACGACTGTTATTTTTATTGCTGTTTTTCTCAATATCCCCTCTGTCAGGGGTGACAAGCACTGTGCCCTCCCCACAGGTTTCCGGTCTCATCCCATTTTAGATCCACTGCAGTCAGGCTCCCTATCTCCTCATCCCAGGGTCTGGGACAGAGTGGTAGACCAGAGGAGTGTCTCACGAGGCCACCCCAGTCTAGGGGGAATCTGTTTAGGTTTTCTAAGCTCATCTAGGTCCCTTCTGTTAGCACAGCTTCTAAGACAAAGCCCAACACATTTACAGTTCACACAGGACACTATTCTGCTGCTCTGCACTTGGCTGGGACTTGAAATTTGTCCTTTCTGCCACACTAGCAGCCAATGAATGCATCCCAGGTCTTCAAATAATTTGCCTCATTACAACGATACAGCACGCCTAGGCTGTGTTTACTTTTAGAACTCCCACTCCCACCCATGATGTCCTGACTCCAACTTGAGCCCATGCACTGGTCCCATCACAGAAGACTTCCTCTGACTTACTCAAGAGAATTCAAGTTTTCTGACAGTATGATTTTCTCTTTTCACTTGGCAATTTCTCACTGTGTTTGGCAAAAGGTGCTCTCAAAAGCCACATGAGGAGGCTCTGAGAGAAGACATCTCTTGGTAGACATGAATGGTATCCTTCCAAGTATCTCTAGTTCTCCTGGGCACATGCTTAGCCTCTGCTCTCCTTCCCCCACTGAATTAGCTGTTTTCATGTTTTTGTGCATGTGAGTCCTTCTATTCCAAATGTTCTTCCTGTTTCTATGTTTTAGGAATCACAGGAAGGTCAACGCCTTCAAATTTCAATTTAAACACCATCTCCAAGAATAGTTCTCTTCCATAACTTCAGGTAGTTCTGACATCAGGCCACTGCTTCCAGCAGGAATCTGAACTTAACACGAAAAACACATGTATTACGCACGTTTATCTGGGAAAATAGGATAGAGTAGTGGTTACAGGGCAAGCTCTAAAACAGTGGCTTTCAACGAGGGATAATTAAGCAAGATTGTTTTTAAAAAATAGAATCTTGCTGCATTGCCTCTACTGCCTCCAACTTCCTGTGTTCCAACAATCCTTCTGCCTCAGCCTCCTGAGTTGCTTAGATGACAGGTAACTACCACGGCACCCAATGATGGAGAACTTTTTTGGTTTTCACAAATGGACGAGGTGCTGTTAGATAAGAATGTTGCTACACATTCTCCAGTGCACAGAAGAGCCTCCCACTGCACAACATTGCCCTGCCCCAGTATTGATGTACCTTGGCTGAGAGACTGTGGCATGGCGAGAGTGTTTGAGGTCACATCCTAACTTCTGTATTACTGTGACTCTGGGCATGTCACATAACCTTGAGCAATGCCTGCCACACAACAAATGTGAAAGAGATGTTAGGTACTGTAATTGCCTCCTCCACTAAAGTACAAATTCCTATAAGGTGGGGATTAAGATTTACTTACATGTGTACCCCTGCCTGCCAGAACACAATAAGAAGGTGGCCTACATGAATCAAGAGTGCTTTCACCCTTTTCTGAAAGTTAGCAAGTTGCAAACAGTGGATAAAATCCTCTGCCAGACCTCAAGACAAAGCCTGAGTGTTCTACTTAGCAAAATCTGCACTGTTTCAGTATATTTATTACTTCTAGTTCATTGTAAAGTACAAACCCAAGTACAGAGACTCTCGGTCAGCCAGAATAGTTAAGAAACCAGAAGTGAAGCACAACCATTTGCAAATTCATGGCACATAAAGTTTATAACAATGATGCTATCCGGAGAAGC